CTTCATCAAATTTGAATCCTTATAATCTCCGACAATTGAGGGAGAGATTATTCAAAATGTCTGTTTAAGGAATGAATAAACATCCTAAAATTTCATACACTCACTAGTAATAAATCTGTTTGCAGATAATTTTATTCTGAGCTGTGACACAGGACACACAGAAGGACGTATGGAACATAGGAACAATGTGACCGAGTTTGTGCTCTTGGGGCTCACTCAGAACCTCCAGGGCCAGAAAATACTATTTGCTGTGTTCTTGCTGATCTACATGGTGACAATGGCAGGCAACCTACTCATCGTCCTGACTGTGGTGCTCAGCCCAGCCTTGGATGCTCCGATGTTCTTCTTTCTTGGTTACTTATCATTTATGGATGTTACTTATTCTAACACGGCCACCCCAAATTTATTAATAGACTTACTCCAAGTGAAGAAAACCATTTCCTTCCAAGCTTGTATGACTCAGCTTTCTTTAGAACATTTTTTTGGTGGTGCTGAGATAATACTCCTGGTGGTCATGGCCTATGACCGCTACGTGGCCATCTGCAAACCCCTGCACTATCCGACCATCATGAACCAACAAATGAGTGTTTTATTGTTGGTACTGGCCTGGGTTGGGGGGTTTGTGCATGCTATACTGCAGATCTTTTCTGTTTACAACCTTCCCTTCTGTGGCCCCAATGTCATTGACCACTTCCTCTGTGACATGTACCCCTTGTTAAAACTCGCCTGCACTGACACCTACGTTATTGGCCTCACAATGCTGGTCAATGACGGGGTGATCTGTGTGGTCATCTTTACACTGTTATTAATCTCCTATGTCATCATTCTACACTCCCTAAAGAACCTGAGTCAGGAAGGGAGGCGCAAGGCCTTATCCACCTGTGGCTCCCATATCACCGTAGTTGTCCTCTTCTTTGTTCCTTGCATTGTTCTATTTGTGAGACCTCCTTTTACCTTGTCCATGGATAAATACTTAGCTGTGTTCTACACGGTTATCACACCTATGCTGAA